ACTTTGAAATAAAAACTCAATTATCACCAGAAAATCCGTAAACATGATAAGAACAATAAATTGAACAACACTAGTATAACACGTAGCAATTTGGCATAGGAATGAGACAATATAAGAAGAACAGAGAAACATGAAAAACAGGTAAATTAGCGGCGCATAAGTACTCGTCACCTCACATATACGCCGCTCATATGAATTTCACTTAGCAAGTAACCTAAGGTTCCTAATTTCCTCAAGTCAGGGTTAGACACAACACTTACCTCGCTCTGAAAGCCACTTAATTCTCAATCACATCTTTTCCTTTGGAATTTTCCTCCTAACCACTCGTATCTATTCAAAAATGACTCAATAATATCAAATATTGCTAAAGGAATCAATTATATTGCATAAATTAAATTTCCCAAAAATTCCTCCAAAAATTCAAAAAATCGACCCCAGGTCCGCTTGGTCAAAACCCGAGGTTCGGACCAAAACCCTTTCACCCATTCACCCCCGATCCCGAATATGTAATTAGTTTTGAAATCTGACCTCAAATTGGGGTCTAAATCCTCAAATTTCCGAAATCCCTAGTTTCTACCCTAACCCCTAATTCTACCATGAAAACTCTAGATTTTAGGTTAAAATTTTAAGAAATGTAATGGGTAATTGAAAAAAAATGGTTTAGAATCACTTACCAACAATTTGGGGAAGGAATGACTCTTGAAAAATCGCCTCTCACCGTTTGGTTTTTGAGAAAACGAGTTTTTGGCTAAAATCTCGTTTTTGGATTCTTTTAAGTGCTGGGCGACAGTGTTCATCGCGTTTGCGAGAGCACTGTCGCGTTCACGATGGGTAATGGCTGATAAGCCTTCACGTTCGCGAAACCCAGCTCGCGTTCGCGATGATTACTCCCTCCTGGCCTTCGTGTTCGCGAGACATGGCTCGCGTTCGCGATGAAGCAACGAGCAATCCCTCCCCCCAGGTCCCAACATGCTTCGCGTTCGCGAAGGATAAGTCCCCCATCACTTCGCGTTCGCGACCAGGCCTTCGTATTCGCAAAGAAGAAAACTTCAGCTGCCCAGTTTACTCTTCGCGTTCGCGAGAGTACCTTCGCGAACGCGAAGAAGGACATGCCAGAACACAGAATCTGCAGAAAAATCAGATTTTCAAAGTCCAAAACATCTCGTGGCCTATCCGAAACTCACCCGAGCCCTCGGGGTTCCAAACCAAACATGTACACAAGTCTAAAAATATCATACGGACCTGATCGCGCGATCAAATCGCCAAAATAACACCTAGAACTACGAATTTAGCACCAAATCAAATGAAATTCTCAAGAACACTTTAACATTTCTATTTTCTTAACTGGACGTCTGAATCACGTCGAATCAACTCTGTTTCTCACCAAATTTCACAGACATATCTTAAATATCATAATGAACCTGTAACGGGTTCCGAAACCAAAATACGGACCGATACTAACAATGCCGAATATCAATCAATTCTTAAAAATAAATAATTTCCAAACTTTTAATTTTCATAAAAAATTCATAACTTGAGTTAGGGACCTCCGAATTCGATTCCGGATATACGTCCAGGTCCCATAATTCGATACGGACCCACTGGGACCGTCAAAATACAGATTCGAGCCCGTTTACCAAAATTATTGACCGAAGTCAACTAAAATTAACTTTAGTTTTTAACATAAAAGCTTTTTAGAAATCTGTCCGGACTGCGCACGCAAATTGAGGAGGGTAAAAATAATATTTTTAAGGCTTAAGAGTGCAGATTTGAGTTCTAAAATATAAGATGACCTTTTGGGTCATCACATAGACTGTATATTTCAAATTATAAGAAGTGTCCTACCATTAGAATCAAAACATTGAGAGATGAACATACATGTAATCTATGTTTCAAAAATGTTAGGGCTAATCAGAATACTTTGGCCCAATTATTTAAGAGAAAGGTGCAGTACAATCCTAAGTACAAGTTAAATGATATGAAAGTTGAGTTGGAGAGTGGTTTTGATTTAAATGTATCCAAAAGTAAGCTCAAAAGGGCCAAGGGGTTTGCTCTTAAGAAGTTGGAGGGCAGTTTTGTTGATGACTATAACAAACTTGAGGCATTTGGATAAGAAATAAGACAATCTAATCCGGGCAGTGATGTTGTGATCAATTTATCAAAGGATGCTCTTGAAGAAGGGAAAAGAAGGTTTTTAAGGATACATATGCTTCAATGCATTGAAAAATGGGTGGAAAAGTGGATTAAGACCACTGATTGGGTCAGATGGTACCTTTCTTAAGGGTAGATTTAAGGGTCAGTTGTTAGTGGCTATTGGTCAAGATTGTATGAACCAATTTTATCCTCTTGCATGGGTTATGGTAGACAAGGAAACTACCTGGACTTGGGTTTATTTTTAAAGTGTTTGAAGCTTTCTCTGGAGCTAAATGATGGACAAGGAGTGACTTTCATCTCAGATATGCAAAAGGTAAGCACTACAACATTCATCTCCGATTTCTATTGTTCTCTTCTATACACTTATATATTTTACCTTTTCTGACTGTTTGTTCTATTTTATCACAGGGGTTAATTGATGTTGTGCAGAATATACTTCTTGAATCTCATCATAGATATTGTGTAAGACATATTGAGGCAAATTGGCAGAAGAAGTAGACAAGTGGACATATGAAAAAGTTGTTGTGGTGGTGTGCTTGGAGAACTTATGAAGAAGATTTCAAAGATCAACTAAAAATGATTGGGTGAGCTATGTGAGGATGATGATGCTTCTGCTGCCAAAGATCTCCTGCATTATCCTCCCCAGTCTTGGTGTAGAGCATATTTTGACATTTAGTGTAAAAACATGATGGTCAACAATAATTTCACCAAGTTGTTTAATGCATGGATTCTTGAAGCTAGACATATGCCAATTATCAAGAAGCTCGAGGAGATTAGGGTAAATGTTATGAATCTGTTGGCTATCAATGAAGATAAAATCAGGTAATGGCTAGTTATTATGAAATGTTCTGCTTCTGTTTTACATACCGTCCATTTCCTTATATTTTCTTTTGAATCCTTGTATGTATTTTGTCAGAAAATAAAATGGTGACTTTAGTCCAAGTGCTTTGATGCTTTACAATGACTATAGGGCAATAACTCATTATTGCAAGGTTGAGTTTAATGGTGACTTTGGATATGAAATCACAGAAGGTGATGATAGAGATACCGTGGATCTTGAACATAAAAAATATTGTAGATTATGGCAACTTTCTGGGATCCCTTCCCTCCATACTATCAAAGCTATAATATACGATAGGGTATGAAATATTTTAATTTAGTTTTCTTTTTTAACCTCATATTTTTCAAGTTATCTAATTAGTGTTATTTCTTACTTTTGAAGGGTAATCCTAAGGCACCAATTCATTGGTACTATAGCAAAGAAGCATATTCCTTGACTTACAAGCACAAGTTTCAACCAGTCAAGGGTATAAAATTCTGAAAAATTTATCCTAGCCAAGCAATGGAACCACATGAAATTGTCAAGACTGTGGGCAGACCCAAAGTAAAGAGAAATAGAGAACTTGATGAAGCAAGGAAGTGGAAGGGGGAGTGAAGTTATTCAAGGAAAGGAACTGTGATGACAGCAACAAATGTGGTAAAGAGAACCACAATTCTAGGACTTGTTTCAAGGTAAAACAAACTTATAATGGAATTTTAAAGTATGAAAAATTCTTATTAACTCATTCTTTGGATGGCAGAGCAAAGATGGCATAGAGAGTACAATATCAAGTAAAAAGAAGCAAAAGGATAGTACAATATCGAACGTTAGTACTGAAGATGATTGGTTGGACTTTGAATCTGAAACTGAAGCACAAACACAACAATCTGATTACTCTTCTCAAGTCACAACACAACAATCACAAGCCTATGGTCTAAATATTGGCGATGAGGAAGATCCATCGTTGAGGCCACAAATCATCTCTGAGTCACAATTAATACCTAAGGAAAGAAGGCTGAAAGCAAGACTACCAACTGGGACTAGAAGAATTCAATTTACCGGGGGTGCAGATGGAGTGTCTATGCCAACAAACTTGCCTTACTCACCAACTAAGGCAACTTGGAAGGGGAAAGTTGCACTTACACTTAGCCAGCTCCAAGCTGAAGTAAGAAAAAAGAAAAAGAAGATGGCGCCAAATGGGGAAGGAGTCCCTGTACCAAATTCTGAAATTTATCATAAGTTGGTGGCATTTGGCTAGTTATTTTTGTGAAAAACTTAATTAACTTTGTTTATGTGTGACTGTTATGCACAAAACTGTTGGTTTTTGGTGATTCACAATCACATTTGACATGTCGAGGGTTGATATGTCTAACTAATATGAATTTTATCTTGGTTTAACTGATATGAATGTTATCTTGCTTTTGTGGATATGAATGTGCTTTTGGATAATGAATGCGAAAGTTGTTTGTATATGAATATTGTTTGGGGCCCCAGTGAATTGGTCCAGTAATAAGAGCCTTGATGTGTGTTAACTAGGAATATTCTATTGTGCGTATGTTCAACAGGTTTGCTTCTTCGCATTCCAGTAAAATTATGTTATATGTGTGCGTGTGTATATTTTAAAGCTCACAACACGACTATGTGCAACATAGCTTTATGTCCTGGAAAACAACACTATATTTTTCCAACAAAATGCTACTTCAAAGCATCCTTACCATCTAAGAGACAGAAATAAGAAAGGCCAAATTTTTATTAGCATTTACAATCATGAAAATCAGAAAGAAACTTCAAAGCAGTTAAGATATCAAGTGAACTTCATTTCTCCTTTATCTTGAATCCAATTAAATGAGAACATGGTTCAGTATAAAAATATTTCAAACAATCAATATGACACAAAAATGACATTTCATTCCAAATGATTTAAAACATTTCCAATTATAATCATCGAACCATTACATTACAATGCATCTAAATTATACAACTAAAACAACCATAAGCAATTACAACCATATTTTCAAGTCTTCCCTCAAAACATGAAACTAACCACAAATCCAATAATGAAACCCAATAACATAAGAAATAATTTTTTCCCCCTGTTTTCAAGTCTTTCTTTAAGAAGAGCATCCTTTTCCCTTTTCAATTTGTTGATGACAATAATAGCTCTTGGTGGAAATTCATCGTCTTCACATTCCCAATAACCACATCCACTTTTCTACAATAAAATATTAACATAATAACAAAAATCGATTACAAATCTGCCAAAATCAACGATACAAATCTGTCAAAATAAATATTAACAAGAAAAAAGAGAAAACTTACATCAGGCTTATGACACCTGAAAAAGCGTCTTCTAGGATTCATTTCAGTCCGCGATGTGAGATGGAGTGCAGCAACTCCACATCCTTCTACGGCTATTTGAAGAACTCGAACATTTCGACATTTCAAAAGCAAATGAAAGAAGTAAGAGAGCAAAGTGAGGAAAAATCAAACAAGATAGCTAACTTACTTAAGAATAAACTCACTATAACAAGCAGATTGAACCCTAATTGGGGATTTTAGAAATGAGCCATCTTCACGAAGAGAGAATGTGAAAAGGAAAGGCTAGAAATTAGGGAATAACTAGTGGGGTCTTCTAGAAATAAGGGTGGGTCTGGTCATAATCGATCAGGTCAGTAGATTTTGATTGGGTCCGGTTATTAATTATTTAAGAAAGACAAAATAGTGGGTTCCATCTAACTAAGGGAATGAATGAGTATGTATTGGACGGTTTGGACATATCTGTGCCAAACTAATAACGACGGGCATATTTATCCTAATTCGAATAGTTCACTGACATATTTGATCCTTTTCCGTTGTCGAAAATATTACAGGATAAAAAGAGTATAGTGTTAAGAGTCTTTTGCTTCGCATATTAGTTATCATAAGATTATAATATGGTAATACACAAACATATATATGAATATGTTATATTATGTCGAGGTTGATATATATATATATATATATATACACACACATACACACTATTGTATTAGTTATGCATGTATTAGTAATGTGGAGTCTTACATAAAAAATCACACACTGCTTGAATAATACATAATACAATGTCTTATACTATAAACTAAATGATATACTACTAATACAAAGCTTTATGAGAAGAATATATTTTCGTATAAAACAAACCAGACAAGTCACTAGTGTTGTGGTAATTATTTCTAGTATAAGGTGTGGACAATAAATTTACGTCAAAAATAATCGAGACTAAAAAATATTATAACAATCGTAGTATTTTATTTTAAATAATATAAGTGTCTTTATAAATCCTCTGACTCTTCTTTTCAAAGAAAAATGCAAGGGGTTTTTGAGCTTGATCTTGAATTGTATGTATTTTGATCCAAGAGCTTCAAGTTTGATCTTGAACCTTTGTCTTGGTTTTTGAGTCATTAGAATGCACCTTAATTTTCGATTACTTAAAACACTTATTGATCGTTGAATCCTTAGAATTCTTGAATGTTTACAGCTTGTAAAGAAAGTTATAGCATTTGATTCACAAGCTCTCTCTTGCATCTGATTTAAATTCTGGTATCTTTTCTGAGTTATGAACACTCCAATTTATAGTTGTGGGAGAAAAGAGTTGTCATAAGAATAAACTCTTTCTGACCAATCAGATTGAAGCGTGACAAGACTGCATTTGATTGACTGAACATATTACTTATACAAGTGGCACAATTTTATTGGCTATTTTGATTTGATTTGGCTTGCCATATCATTTTGACACGTGACCTTATCCTATTGGCTCTTTCGTTTAACTTGGCATATCATGTCGTTTGACACGTGGCACCATACTGAGACTCTAGGAAGATGATATATTGGACTTAATGAAGTAGGCTCATTATTTGTAACCCATTTAAATGGGCTAGCACAATGAATTTAGATTTATTTATCTAATTCATGTATACATAAAACTTTTATAATTAATTTAATTACATTAGCCAATAATATTTATTTGGACTAATATATTCTAAATATAGTTTAAATTATTTATTGGATTAAAATTCAATAAAACTTATAAACGGTTACATAAGGGTCTGATCAACATATTTTTGAGCGAATAACAACTTGAAGTAGGAAGCTTGAGCGTGGACACACAAATAGTAGACTGCAAGTAAAGTAGAGCTTCGGACAGTTTTCATAACTTGTTTGGAGGAATCATCATATATAAATGATTAAAGTGTATTATATATAAGGAATAAAGTTATGTAATGTAACATAGGAATTTTTTATTTTCCCTACCACAATTTATTTTGTCTAGGCCATAAAAGATTACTTTTCAAAACAACTATACTAAACACATATTACATTTTATTTTTGTTGATTGATAATCATATATGTGATTACTATTGTTTTACTGATTTGTTATTTGGCTGGAGCGAGCCATAAAAATTAAAAAATAGAACCATCTGATTTAATCATAGCTACAAAATGTTCATATTAGGATAATCCTTTTGTCGACAGACGCTCTTATTATACTCGTAGTCTTTAAGGATATAGGTAGCATGCTAAAAAGATTCCGAAGTTGATCTTGTGCAGTCTTGAGGGTTTGCTCTTGAGGCGCACGTTAGGTAGGGAATAGCTAACGTACGCCTTCACTAATGACTCGACGGAAACGACGCAATGATCTAGTTGCGGATGCAGATACGATGACGGATACAGGAAATAGGATGGTTACACCGGAATCGGGGGTTCCCCAAACCCTAGAACCACCTCAATTGGTTCACTGGATGCAAGGTATGGGGAGCGCCCCAACTATTCTTCAAGCACCGGCGAAAGAGGATCTGATAAAAGTGCAAGGAGCTCAAAAACCAGTGGAGTTCGATGCGACTTTGCAGCACGGAAACTAACATTTTCAGTCGAATCGCATGAATCAAAGGTTACCTTAGCAGATGTGGTACGAGGGAATCGAGCCACGCCACGCATCAGGGATCGAAGCTTGAGTACTACCCACCGGTCATGAAAGAAGGGGTAAAGGTAGTCCGTCTCAATCAAATTGAAGTAGAAGAAGATGCTGAAATTCGTATATGGTGTTTGGCACTTTGTGGATACACCACATATATATTTACATGATGATGGATACTTTATCTTTCGATTTCTAGATGATGAAGACAAGTTGAAGGCATTAAAGTATGGACCATACACATTCAATAATAGACCTATGATGCTAAAACAATGGGAGCCGGATTTTGACATAAGCAAAGAGACCAATCGTATTGTTCCTATATGGGTATTACTACCTGGGTTGCCGATACAATATTGGGCAACTGAGAATTTAGGCAGAATTGCAAGCTACCTAGGTAAACTTGTATGCACTAATAAGTTGACAACACAAGGGGATAGAATTTCATACGCTAAAATTTTGGTGGACATAGATATATCACAACCGCTCCCTGAGTATGTATTGATTGAAGATGAAAAGAGTGGTTACAAGGAGCAGAGATTAGAATATGAATGGAAGCCTTCTTATTGTTAGCATTGTCTGCAAATAGGACATAACACTGGTAATTGTAAGAAGGAACATGAGCCTGCTGATAAACTTGAGTAGGGAGAAGAACAGTATCGCAAAGGAAGAAGACAAAAGCAGAAAAAACAACAACCAATAGCTCAATAGAAAGTGAAGACTAGTATGCCTAAACCACTAGAATAAGAAGGACAACAGAGTTAAGAAAGTCAAGTTAATGTGAAGGCAGATGACAAGGTTGATGCTGATGAACAAGGAATATTAGTAAAAGGGAAAATGAAAGTGGTTCCTCAAAGTAGTGAGTCTCAGGAAGGAATTATGACTGATGCAGAAGTAGAAAAGTTGCTAAGCCAAAACAGATTCATCTCTTTGAGAATTCAAATGAAAGAAACTACCAGTGGAGTAGAAAAGGCCACCAGTACCTCTGATAAGTTTCCCCCATGATAGTTTGTTCATGGAATATCAGAGGGCTAAATAAGCCCTTTAAGCAGAAGGAACTCAAGGCCTTCCTGCTTAAGAATAAAGTATCTGTAATAGGGTGCCTTGAGACAAAGGTAAAAGACAAAAAAGTAACTAAAGTAAGAAGAAAGTTTGAAGGAGAATGGACAATATATACAAACTATGTTGTAGCTCCTAAGGGGAGAATCTGGGTGTTTTGGAAAGATCATATGGTGGATGTACATGTAACTATGGCCAATCACCAGATGGTCCACTGTTATGTAAAGGATAGAAGTTCTGCTTTCTCTTGTGAGCTGACTTTTATCTATGGCTACAACACTAATTCAGATAGGAAGAAAATGTGGGATCAACTGAGATGTCTCAATAATAACATTAAGGATCCGTAGTTGGTGATGGGGGACTTCAATACAATATTGTCAATCAATGATAGATTGAATGGAAACCTAGTCCATTAAACAGAAATTCAGAATTTTCAAAATTGCATTACAGATATGGGATTGGGGAAGCTGAATAGGAAGGGATGGAAATGGTCATGGTGTAACAAACGAGAGGCAACAAAAAGAATTTACAGTAATATTGACTGGGTGTTTGGGAATCCTCAATGGTTCATTCTTTATATTGGAATTGAAGCTTTTTATGACTGTCCTGGTGTATCAGACCATTCACCAATTATCATAAGTACTGATAGAGTTAAACAGATATTGCCCAAGCCATTCAGATTGTTAAATGCAGTAATGCAGCATCGAGAATTCAAAGAAGTAGTGCAACAGATTTGGGGACAGACTATAGAGGGATATGCCATGTACTCAGTACGAAGGAAATTAAAATTGTTAGAGCAGAGTACAAACACAAACAGAGAATTTTCCTCTTTGGAAAGGAAAATAAACCCAATAAGAGATGAGTTGAAAGGAGTACAAGAGCAACTGAGCACAGACTTATTCAATAATCAATTGAGCACAAAGGAAAAGGAGTTATTACATCAGATAGAGAAATGGGAAGGCATACATGAACAGGTCTTAAGACAGAAGTCTAGGGCCATTTGGATCCAAGCAGGGGGGTTCAAACTCAAAGTTTTTTCATGCTCAAGTGAAAGCAAGGCAAGCTAGAAACAGAATAGGTTATATATGTAGTGAGCAAGGGGTAAGACTTACTGAACCTAAGCTGGTAGAAAGGGAGTTTGTGCAATTCTTTCAAGCTCTATTGGGGACTTGTGCAAATGAACTACCATGCTTGGATGTAAACATTGTAAAGCTTGGTCCATGCCTAACCAAAGAGCAACAAATGGGAATGCTTCAACAGGTCACAAAGGAATAAATTTATCAGATAATCAAAGAGCTTCCCAATGATAAATCCCCGGGAATTGATGGTTACTTAGCTGAATTCTTTAAACAATACTGGGACACTATTGGTTCAGAGATCACAGAGGCAGTACTTGAGTTCTTTGCAAATGGAAAGATGTTGAAAAGTGTGAATTGCACTACTGTTACATTGGTGTCTAAAGTAGCAAGCCCTACTTATGTTAAAGGATACCGGCACATTGCATGTTGCACCACTCTATACAAGGTGATAGCTAAGATCTTAACAGGGAAGCTAAAAATAGTGGTGGACTACATAGTGGGGCCTGCACAAT